TAATCTAGCTGTGTTTGCTTTTGCAAGAGAACTACAATGTTTTGATTATTGGGTGACAGGTTTTCTTATTTGTGTGAAGAGTTTTGCAAAATTAGCCAATAGTTACAAAAAATGTGCTTAAGCAATCAGAAAAAACTGTAATTCATGAAATTTGAGAGATGTAGTCATTGAATGCATTTTGTGCCAAAACAATGATAACTGATCCTCAGTTTAGCCCACATAGACTTCTGTTGTGCTCACTGTGTGAGGAGTTTTGCAAAAGTGGCCTAAGTATTGAGAAATGTGTCCTAGCATCTGTAAAAAACTGTAACACACCAAGTCAATTTCCATTTTGTAGATATGAACCTGCATTGCATAACAACGTTGATATTTTTAAAAAATATTACATTCCCACTAAACATTGGACATTGGGGAGACATGCAGATCATGTCAATATTGAGTCCATTGGTCTTAAAAATTTGAACTTTGGACTGGATAATGTTTTTGGATGTCAGGTGGACGTCTATGACAGGTGCAGGAAACTTACGTGATCAATACATTTTTTTATTTACAAATATTACCATTGCTGCTATCAACATAGTATATATGAATACAGATTATTTATATTTTATTCAGTATATATGGGGTGGGGGGCTGGGGAGGGGTTTTACATTTTCACAAGTATCCTGTTTTATTGTGAAGAGCTTTGTAAGAGGAAGTAAATGTAGTTGTGATCAGTAGCAGGACTGAAAGAAGTTTGTTTCAGTGTGTATGTATAAATTGGACTATCTACTCGTTTTTGTTGATGTTCACATTTTGAAACTGTCTATGAGAAGCTGGGGACATTTCTGCTCAACATCCACTGAGCAGCTGCTCACTTTTGTTTTAGCTCAGGAGGCCAGCAATCTCATAGATGTCTGCTGATCACTCTGCACTCCTTCACACATAACTGTTTCTTTACTAAAACATGCCTTACACCTTCTGGAAACACGGGACTACAGAGCCTCTAGAAGCAGTATAAAACCAATGATTTTAAATTTGACACTGAAAAGACGTGAACATTGACCATATTTGGACCGTGCATGGAGGCCCTATCGACATCAACACTAGAAGTTTAGTAGATGTTGAAAAAAAGATGTCATATTGACATCCAAGTCTGCTCATGGTGGATGACCAAATTGTGGACCTGGTTTGGATGTCCAGAATTGGTTAGCACAAAAAGAAGTGCTCATGAGTCCATCTGGAGTCATATATGTCAGCCTGTACAGAATTTCCATAAACTGTATGGATTTTTCATCATTTTTATTACTTTTGGGTTATTATGAATTTTTGGCGCTCTGTGAGGCCAGCTTTCTTTCTGTGTGTGTGTGTGTGTGTGTGTGTGTGTGTGTGTGTGTGTGTGTGTGTGTGTGTGTGTGTGTGTGTAAATCTGAGTCACAACAGAGACGGTCAGAGATGACAGAGTCAGACTGTGCACAGTACCTGACTGAAGTATTACTACCCAATAATACAAGCAGTATAAATGTAAGAATGCAAGTTCAAAACCCCAGATCAGCTCAATAATATCATTTACTGATATTATACATTTTAAATAGATTAACCCTAAATTATGATGTATAGTATTAATTTTGCAGTTGCAACACAATGTCAAAAAAGAGCCAATTAAGAAAACAGAAACGGGAAACTTCAGCCTCAGGGTGGCAGCTCTGTTCTGTCCTGAATCAGGCCATTTAGCAGTAAGGAGGTAAGTATATAAGCAAGTAAAAGGCCTGCTACTGAGTGCAAATTATTAAATTACTGTTATTTTTATTATTTACTAAATACTTATGTGACTTTTTTTTTGGCTGATCACATGCCTAAGCCTATATGGGTTAGTCACGTACACTGGAACATTCTTGTTCTGTCATCCAACAGGCAGGGATTACTATCATAAACCATTTCCTGTGACTGACTAGTGAAACTGCAATGTTTTTTTTTTAATGATGTGCTATAAAAAAGTGAACATTTTACATTATTCTTCAGACTTACAGAATTACTGACATAATATCAACATATCAAGGAGTTTATGACTTACCTGCTTTTCTTTTCTTAAAGAAAAGACAGAAAATAAAAAATATAAAAAATTTAAAAAAATAATGAATTGATTAAATATATAATTAATTAAACCAATGAAATGAATGCACATTTAATTAATTAGTTGTATAGTTAATTGATGAATTATTTCCAATTCAAATTAATTGTTGACATATTCAATTTTTACATTTACATTATATTTAATTCATTTTGGGATTCGAGGTCCTCTACAGAAAAATCACTTCCCACACCAGCTGAAGCTGTTATAGCTGCAAAGGGTGGGCCTATAAGTTAGACGTCAGTGTGCGAAAGGATTTGAGTAGGAATACAGTAATAAACATTTTTAATGGAAAAAAAAAGACCAAACTTAGATATAAGGCATTTTGTTTTCACTTTAATTTATTGTACAGTTTAGTTGATGCTGTTTTGACTTGATGTATGTATATCTCACCAGAACATGCTCTGGTTGGATATAGAGATCAATTTTTAAAACAAAGCCTGAATAATTTTCTGAACCAACTTTTATTTATCAACATTAGAAACATAAATATGAATCAAGCCAGAAGCAAAGATTTTCCTTATTTTATGAGGCCATAATTATACAGACACTACGAGTTCTGAATGAGAGTCCACAACTACTGCTGGATATAAATATGAAAAACAGAATATTTTAAAATAAACATTCATGTTTATTTCATTTCTTTGGTTTCAGGAGGAATATGAAGCTAAAGAGTTCCTAACATTTATCACTGCAAAGTGCATAACCTTAACCCATCAAACAAGATGTTCAAGTTTCAACAAAGACCTCCTAAATTATAAATACACATAAGATTTGTCTTGTTTACGTATTAAAAAATGACAAAATACACATTTATATATTTTTAAATCCATAGCTGTGATAGCATTTACAAATATAAATCGCTACAAAGTAATCACAACAATCAAATAATCGTGTCAAAAAAAGAGATTGCTCCTGTTACCTGATTAGTATTGCAATATTTTTCAAAGGAAAAGCAACAACTTTATATTTCTTACATAATTAAAACAAGCTGTTCCAAATGGCTTGTCAATATCCCACACCAGAACCACAGTGATCTGAAAAACTTATCATAACAGAGTATACATATCACTTACAAATCACTGAATTCAATCAACACATTAAATTAATATACTGTTATGATCCAGAATCATGTCTGTTGTTTTTGTGTTCGGCTCCTCCCATCACAGTATATGTTAGTATATGCTTTTCTCTCTCTTAACTCCAATTTAGTGTATTGCTGAGAAAGCTGTTTGCTGAGTGGCTGATTTGAATTGGTTTCAGGATTGGTTGACTAGATGGACACCAGCCTCATAAACACCAGCTCCTGTGTTGCCTCCAAAATCAACAGCATCTTTGTTAGTAATTCTTGTGTGGGGACTCTGATCTGAAAGTCTGTTAGTGAGCAGCCCACCAGTTTTTGTAAATAGGTTTGTAAACAGATAATTGTAAATATTACACTGTATATGTCGAACACTGCAGCAGTAGTAGAAGTGAGAAGGCTTTTTGGTTTGGATTAGGAGCTTAGTTTAGACATTTGTCTATTGTTTGCTTTTATTTTGGTTAGGGAAGACTAGGGAACATTATACACCTTTTGTTTCGCATTTTCTCTACATTTTCTTTACATTTTCTTGATAAAGCTAATAGCAGCTGCTAGACTTGTCTCACTTCAGTGTCTTGCTGCATTATGAATGTCTCCCTCTTAGTTTTCATACTTAATATCATATGCAAGCGGTCCGTTAATGGCAAAACCAATGTAGAAAGACACTTTTTCTGTGCTAAAGCCACTTCTGATTCCACTTAACCGAGCTGGACGCACCAGGATCTTCTGTTGACCATAGTTTGCATACACTGCTCCTTGCTCAATAGTCCCACTGACCCGGTGGAGGCGGCTGATGATTGCTTTTTCCTTAAATATGTCTCCGTTCCACCAAAGTTGTGCCAAAGTATCACGAGGCATCTTTGGCAGAAAGCTCTCATCTAGTTTAGGTTTTGAAACAAGCCTCTTTAGTCCTTCCCCTTTTCCTAAGTATAAGCGGGCAATAGTGCTTCTCTTATTAAATAACTTGGACAGGTACTTGTGGGAAGATTTTCGAATGGCTGTGACATATTTCCCGATTTCTGTGTTTTCCTCTGTAGGACTTGGCCAGAATAAAAGCAGAGCCAGATAATAAGGATCTGGGAGATGATAACATAGTCCTATTTCCTGCAGAGTTTCTGAAAGTAGACCAGAAAGGAATCTGTAACTCTTGACATGTTTAGATTTTGGTTTCAAAAAGTAAAGAACAATGTTTGACAAGATGTAATTAATTTTCATTTGTGAATTTTGTTTTTGATTGCCAGTTTTCTGCAGAAATGCGTAGCATTCTGTGACCATTTCAATCTTTTCAGCAGGCTTGTCCAAATGCTGAAGTATTCCTGAGAAAGTGTCTGCTTGGTTCTTTTCAAGAAACAGCTTTTGTTCCTGGACATCCAATTTCAAAGTGAGATTGGATTGATGTTCTTTTTCTTTTGTCATTTCTTCAGGTGTACTACAGAAAAGATGAACATACTTCTTAAAATGGTCACAGACTATTTGATGATTCATTGAGTCAAATTTACACACCCCTTTAATGTAGGCAAAGTAACAGTTAAGGATATCAAATATTTCTTTGACGTCAGACTTCAGTTTAACAAGAAACCTCTCGTGTTCGTTGATGATCTTGACATACCAATTGGTGATCTCATTGTCCTCATCACAAAGAGTGTTGAGCTTATTTCCCCTAAGAAAACTCTGCAGGTACTTTTTCTTCATTGGGTTGTGTTCATCAAAGAAAGGCAACTTGCTCAGTATCTCAAAGACCAAGAAAGCAATTTCTAGCATGCGCACATACCCATAAACATTGTATGACTTTCTGGGGTAGTCCTCTGAGTCATCATCAGGTGGTTCTTCTTGAGGTTCATCTTCCTTATCTGCCAGCTGTTGGGCTCTTTCGAAAGCTTTCATACCATTGATGGCTATCTTAATGTTTGTGTCCAAGTCCTCTGGGTTGTGTGATTTCTCCTGCTTTTCTCTGTCCATGTTAGACTTTAAATTGCTTTTGTGAATTTGTCCGATTGTGTCAAAGGTGTAAGGATTTTCTTTAATGTCTTTGGCTTTTTCTGCCCACTTCAGAGCTTCTGGGAAGTCACGCTCATTGATGTACAAATATCTCGCCAATGCCTGAGGAATAGATGCACTTGTCACAAATCTGGATGAGGCTTTCACAAAGATTTCTTGGATGGTTTGTCTCCCCTGCTGGTTATGGATTTTGTGTACGAGAGGAGAAAATAGTTCTCTCTCATCTCCATCTTTTTTACGTTGCCTTTCAATCAACATTCGTTCAATTGAGCGCATCAGTCTGTTTTTAACAACGAAAGTACTGAAGAACAGATCATAATGAAGCATCTGCATAGTAATTTCACTGACTTTCTTGTAGCAGCTTCTCTCCAACTCAGCCAGACAGGCAGATGCAATGGTCTGATGAAGTATCCGGAGGCCTTCGTATCCACCCGATTCTTGAATCCTGTCTATGATGAGAAGGTTTGAATACGGATTCATTCTTTCCAAAACACTGTCCTCTCTCCAGCGAATAAATTTCATCCCCAAAAAATCCTCACAGAGAGAGAGAGATATTTCTGATTCTTCCACGTAAGTGTTCAGTAACGCTAGAAAGGCAAACAGCTCAGACTCCTTTTTGCTGAAATCAAAATTCTCCAGTGTGTTATGAGCAAGGTCATCTATGTATTTTTGGTCAAAATTGTTCTTCATGATCATGAAGCTGTAAAAGTTTTCAGGTTTGTCATGAGTTTCTTCAAGCTCTTTGAGTTTCTTTTCAAAATCTTTCTGCTCTTGTGGGGTCAAAGAAGCAGTTATGAACTGATTCTGTGTTTGATTGTGCTGTCTGTATTGCTGCTTTGGACTATGGGAACGAACACAGTTAAGGATGATAACTTTCCAGTTTGGTGCATCATCTGCACTTACACTGAAGTTTTCTTCTACTGCAGCTTTACGTATGGAGATCACAAGATCGTAAGGATTATCCGTTTCTTTTGAATCAACTAAGAGCAGAACTGGAGATGGTTTCTCACTTTCAAGTTTCATTAGTTTAATAACTTGGATGGCAACTTCTGTTTTGGGCATGGAGTTGTCTTTCAGCACGGCACATCTGAATTCATGACGGAGGTCCCACATCACATGCATTGCTAAGGTGGTGCCGCCACAGCCAGGATGGTGAAACAGGTTGAGCAGAACACACATGTCGTTTGAATCTCTCCACTGAGATCTGATCAGCTTCATCACATTCTCATACTTGTCTCGCTTGATAAATGGCTTCTCTTTGTCTTTGTGACAGAAGTAGAAGTTCCACCATTTCACTTTGCCACCTCTGTAGAATTCTTTTTCAACACTTTTTCTAAATTCATGAAACTCTGAACTGTTTTCATCATCTACGCTTTCACATTGGTTCGTACACAAAACATCTAGAGCTGTCAATAAATCTTCATCCTTCTGTGTTAGGACAACAGTACTGGAACCAGAAGAGGGAAGCAGCCGTACAGATGACTGACTGAATGGTCCCATCGTCATTATGGTGCCATTGATCTCACTCAGGGTTAGTTCATTTATGGACAGATGCTCAATGTCAGAGTCACACTTCTCCTTGATCAGCTCCCTCCATTTCAGATATGTGCTCTGAGACTCACATACACTGATGATGTTTTCCTCCTCAGTGTGCTTTATGAATGCCTTGTAGATATCAAAGACTGGGTCTTTCTCAGTGTCCACAGGTGAAAGTAGGAGGAAGATGATCAGATATCTTCCACGGAGGAGAACTTCAGGGTTGCAGATGAATGAAACTAACTGTTCTACATCTTTACAGGATTTCCTGAGCCAGTTCTTATAATCCAGCGCCAAGTTTGAGTCACTGTTCAAGTCATGCCGGCCATTACAGAACACCCAGCTGGTCTGTTTGTAGAGGTTGAGGTTCTTTATCACTGACTCAGTCTGTCCTTGAAATTGTGGTGGTGTATGCTGGTTGGCCCACCTTGACTCTCTGTATGAGTGACACAATCCACCTGAGGCAGCAGAACTGTGGTCAAAGTCTAACACGCAGAACAGTTTCAACTTCGTCAGAAACTGAAGATAATGTAGTTGTTCTGGATTGCTCTTGTTTACAACAACAACAAATTTGTCATAGTTATCAAGTGAGTTTCCACCACAACTTAACAAAGTCTTCAGCTTTTCTCCCTGGTTTGCTTCTTTCCTCACAGATTCTTTTGATAGAGTCATCTGCATCAGCTGACCTGTATGAACAGAAAAATAAATCAAAGTAAAAAGAAAGTGTTAGAGTGTATGTTAAATGCTGCCATTGTGGTACTTAAATTTGTAAACCTTGTCCTAAATGGCATGTTTAGATATTTTTCTGCTCCTCCACTGTCTCTAGGTGGGGGATGCAATAGCTACAAGTGTTTAACTGCACGCACATTGCATGTGAGGTTCTAGGTGTCCTTTTTTAGTAAGGATGTTTTCTTCCTGCCCTTTATGGCCTCACCTATGCTTGTGTATGGTGAACCTTTAAAGGAATTAATCCATATACAGGATGAGGGGAGATGGCCCTTTGTGACCAGCAGGAAGTCACACACACACGCTCGCACATTCTCACACACACACACACACACACACACACACACACACACACACACACACACACACACACACACACACACAGAGTGCCTTAATTTTATGATGCACCACAGGTTTTTTTTTGTTTTTTTTTGTTTTTTTACAATGGGTGGTGCTTGTATTCACTGAATAAAAGGCTGCAGGGAAAGCGTTTTCTTTGAAGTTGGCTGAGAAACAGGTGAAGAGCGTTCAGCTCCAAGAGCCTGGTTCTAACCAGACTTGCCTTGCAAGTTAAAATGGATCGCTGTTTATCTTGCTTTGTTTATAGGTGATAAGTCTCTGAACCAGCAGGACCTGCAAGCGCAGACCCAAAAGAAAGCATAAACAGGATCACTCTGAAGGTTAACGGTTCAGCTTGATGTATTTTATATATTATTGTGATTTTCATAAAATCATAAGAGAAATAAAAATTAACGATATCTGTCACTCAAAACTTTGAATTTTCCAGTATATAGAATACAAGTATGTCCTGACAAGTACTTTCTATGGTAATTTAAACTGGGGCTGCAACAATTCAATGAGTAATTTGAATAATTTTATTATTAAAAATAAGACAAATTATTTGCTTTTAAAGTTTCCTTTTAATGCGCAGCTCTGTAGTGCTCAGTTGTCACCATGTAAATGCGAGTGTTTCACCCATATTTGGAACTTAAAATAGACCTGCAGTGGAAACGTATCTAGGAGCAAAGTGTGAATAGAAAGTAGGACAACATTAAGCAGCCATCAGTTTTTAATCAAAAACACTGATGACTCAATAACAGCACCAAAGGGTCAACTTGGGAAAATAAATCTGTTCTGAATTTATTTTGGCCTTCAGACAATAATTCTGATTGCTACATTGCTGGACATAACAGACAACCAGAAATCCTGGATGACCACATAGGTGCGCTCACAGCTGACAGCCTGAGATGTGGCTTTCAGGACAGGGGATCAGAGTGCTCCTTGCTGGGCCAGGTCTGCACTCTAATAAAGAAATAAAGGCTGCAAAATGCACTTATGCAGAGAGAATCCAGGGACACCTCTGTGAGACAGGAAATACCAAGCGAATGTGACAGGGAGTAAAGGCACTGACAAATTACAAACCTAGACAGGGGGTCAAGAATGATGAGACTACTTCACCAGTGTGTGAATGTGTGTGTGAATGGGTGGATGACTGGTTGTGTAAAGCGCGTTGGGGTCCTTAGGGACTAGTAAAAGCGCTATACAAATACAGGCCATTTACCATTTACTTTCCCAGACAGGCTGAATAACTAGTTTATTTTGCGACACCATGAAACAAACAATAGCGTAATATGAAACGGTAGACATTTTCATACCGTCATCCAACATATATTGTTATATTGAACAGCCGTATGCCGTCGTATAGTACTCCTACAGGAGTGCAGTTGGTTATACTCTAAACCACATCCCAAAGCTCTCAGGAATTTATAGCTTATACCTAAGTTGCACATTTTATTATTTGAATGCATTCTTACTAGGAACAGGCTTCAGCCACTACATAACCATGAAATGAAGAGTTAGTTGATTCTTACTTACTTATTCTTTCTTCCAGCTGACAGGCAAGTTTCAGCTGATTTATCTCTTTTAGAGTTTGTATTGCGACCTGTGGAGCTTCCTTGCTTCCATAGTGGTCAGTCATTAATTTAGCAATATCCATGCTGTCCTTATCCTCCAGTTTACTCTGACAAATAGGTTTACGTTTGGATTCAGTGTGTAATCTTAAACGAAAAATAAATGTTTTAAGATCCACTTTCAAAAGGTCATCAAGGATGTTCTTGATCTCCACAGTAATCCTGGATGCATCGGGTGACACTGTGGTCTGCTGGAAGAAAGCAATATTTAAGAATCCAACAGCTTTATTGATTTTTATTTTTTCATTTTCATTTGTATAAAGCTATATTAATATGTATATAATATTTGATGTAGTGTGGTGTATAAATAATAACAGAAACTTTACCACAACAGTTCCTTTGTTCCAGACCCCTGTGTTCTGTGGCTTTGGTTGTTGAATTTCTTTCTTCTCTGAAGTTTTATTAAATGGTAACTGAATCTGTTTGGAGTCTTTTTCCACTATCCCATCTCTTTTGGATTCAGTGTTTTCATATGATTCTGGACGGTTTATTTCTTTGGCCTGAGCATTTCCTGGTTCAGTGGGTTTGGCAGCTTCTTTTTGGTCTGTAATAGGTTGCAGAGTTGGCTCCGGTTTCTGGTTCAGTTGTTTGAGTGCTGAAATAATTCTTACAGCAGGACCACCTTTTACATCTAGATCCACTAAATCTTGCTTCCTGAAGCAAACAAGGCAATCTCCAGACACATCTTCCTCTTGGAGTCGTTCTGCATATTTGCTGTATACATTCACATGCTGCATTAACCACTGGCTCACCTGCTCTTTGGTCCATTTTTCCACATATTCTGGGAACTCTGATTGATGCTTACATGCTTTTTTCAGACTTTCCAGATAAGCTGTGATTTTCACAGCAGGACCGTGTTTTATTCCGAAGTCCAAAATGTCTGTTTTATTGAAGGAAACTAAACATGCCCCCGACACTTCCTCTTCAGTAAATCTGTCTGCACAACTCTGCTGAACTTTGACCTCTGCCGTCAGCCACTGGTGAACATCCTCTGTGGTCCACTTTTCAATCAGAGGTGGTTTTTTTGTTGTTGACTGGTTCATTTTGGATCACCTAAATTTGAGAAAAAAAGTTTAACACATCATCTCTATGTGTCCATATTTCACTCCTTCATGGCTCAATATTCCACCCGTTCCAGCCTGCAGCAATTATTTATCTTTTATCCAAGTACAGTCTGTTAGCTGCTACGTTAATAATAATAATAAAAAATGGCTGATGTGGCTATCAGATAACTAATAATAATTAAATGGCAAATATTAATGTGTGCACTGGCTATTCTTTTTTACTTTGTCTTTACATATTATTTAGAATGTTATTTTGTTTTAATAGCTTTCTCTTAAACATGTGGGTTGAGAGAGTTTTTGTTCTCCTTGTTGCCATGGAACTGTTACTTTTATTGAGGAATTGGACCTCAGTGCAGCAGCTACACAATGCAGGTGTTCTTTAATCCAGAGATCAGCTGATTAGCCTGGTCCTGGCTGGCTTGTCAGCCAGACTGATGGACTGACTGATGGATGTAGAGGTGAGGGACACAGGAGGAGAAAGAGGGAGAGTGTGAGACAGCGGAGGCTTGAAGAGAGAAGGTACAAACAAACGAATAGTTATGTCTATAACTTCTGTTCCCTGAAGGAGAGGAACGAGGTACAACACATAAGTATGGGACATATATACACGCAGAACAGAGCAGCCACCGAACCGGAATTGGACCACCACATCCTTAGTGAGTGGTAGACCCAGCAGAAAGGACAGTATGAGCCAAGGGGGGCTGTAACGTCCAACCGATAACACCGCACAAAAGTGTGCGGTGATGCCCAACTAGCTGCCGCATAAATCTGACAACACAAATGATGTTGTGCAGTGTAGATGATATAAGTTGCCAAGCCTTTGCCATTTGATTTTGAGGAACATTGTTTCTGAAGTATTCCACAATCTTTGTACACACTCTCTGGGGAGAGTCTCTGCCCATCTTTAATTCTGAGAGACTCTGCCTCTCCAAGACATTCCTTTTATAGCTAATCACATTACAGACCTGATATCAATTAATTTCAATTACTTGCTAAATGTTCTTCCAACTGAATCTTTTTAACTTTGTTGCTTTTTCAACCATCTGTAGGAAGCATAAAATTATGAAATTTCTCAGTTTAAACATGTTATTTTATCTATGTTCTGGTGTGAATAAAATATTGGCTCATATGATTTGAAAGTCTTAGTTTTCATTTTGTTAAAATTTAAAGAATGTCTCAACTTTTCTGGAATTTGGGTTGTACACTATAAAATTTGTCTCTGTGCAAAAGTTTGCAATTAATCAAGCCCCACAAATTAAACGACAAGAAGACCACAGTGCATTGAAACAGGAACAGGAAGTAATACGATGCTGCAGTAATGCTGTCTATTTGCCTCAGAAGTCCAAGGTTGGAGCTGGGAGTGCCACCACTCGAGTTAATAATGTTCCAACAGTAAAGCTGGAAAAGCAAGGTTTAACTACCACATGAAAACCATACCCTCCACTGAGTGTTGTACCCTTCTGTCCTGTTGTGTACCAGTATAAATACTGTGCCTTTTCAGTGGTTCAGGGTCGGCTTATCTTATCTATCTTTCTTTAAATTTTTACCACACATTTATGTTTTATCTTTTATACTACAAAGATATGCATTGATAGTAGAATTATACACACTGACACTAACAGACAGAGAGAATTTGTAGGGGGGGTTCTAATACCTGCAAGAAAACAAAGCTATAAATATGGCGTGTTTGTTAGAGGGAAGCATCCCCCCCCCCTGGTGTCTCATAATAAAAGTGTTTACTGCTTGGGTGTGGCATTCTTGTCTCTCCAGTCCCTTTACAGACAGCTTAAAAACTAAGTTGAAATTCTAACTGTGTGATAATAAATTTTCAAGATTTAAACTTTGAGCATATTCGTCTTCTCTCTCATACAAAGAACCCAACAATAGTCTGGTCAGTGCTCAGCATATGGCTCATTTAGTGAGTTTTATCTTGGATTGTAATGTTGGAGTTGTAGGGGCTTCTTGGACTTTTTAGATTGGAAGTCCGACCTAAGGGAGTATTTTCAACAAGCACACTTGAGTGTACTTGTGTAATTGGCTGAGATTAATGTTAAACTTCATAATTGGATTTTTTCGTTTACTTTAATGTCTTACTGGAGCTGTCGGTATATTTTTAATTGAATATTTAGTTTGAACCTTAGTTCAGGTTAGTATATTTTGTAGAAATGTGTTATACTAGTTTTAAAAAAAAACTCAGATTTGATTAAAACTAACTTCGAAGATTTTTTTAATCCAGGGAGAAAAGCAAGAGCATTTTCAGCATTTTTGGATCAGCAATGAATCAAGCTCATTATGAATAAACCTGTTCCCTGTTAGCAGTTAACCATTTCACAAACTGCGCAAATCTTTTAATTCACTTGTCATGTTTTTGTTATCAATATATTTTACAAACATGGTTATACAGAATATGATGCTGGACATTAAACAGAATTTAGTATTTAAAATGGGTTCAAACGTAAACATCTAGCAGTAATATCGGTCTATACAATAAAGATGAAATATTTTACTTTTTGTTCATTTATTTATAATTTTCCAGTTATACAGTTTTATATGTAGTGGGGCGTTTTCAAAGTGTTTTATTGCTTCTTTTACTAAAGGAATGGTTCTAAAAAAAATCCTCCACCACTCCTCATTACTAATAGGAAATATTTTTTTGCAATACGGTATATTTATTTAACAATACAAGTGGTACAAGTAATATTATTTAATTATTCTTCAGCCAGGAATGAATACAGAAAGGTGAAGATATGGATGTTGAAGGATCCTCTCTGCTTGCCTTTCTGTAAAAGTCACTGAACACCAAGGGATTAAATTATGTATTTTTTTAATACTTCTTAAAACGTATCATAAATACAGACTGTCTATTGTAATTTTCAGAATTGTAAAAGATAAAAATAAAATCATTTTCAAATCTGAACGCTTTGTTTGTGTTCAACAAGCAGAATGAGCTGCATGCATGCATGTCGTTATTAAAACAGGTGAAGTACTTCATGACTGAAAGACAGACGTCTGTCTTTCAGTCATGTAGTGACTGCTGTTGCTCAACAGTATTATGCTTGACACTATGAGACACTATGAAACACATCAC